GTGTCGTTTGAACAAAGAGGCTTGCTTTAGTGAAGAATTACTGAATGTAAATTGTAAATATTTAGCGACACTCAGCTTCAACTAAACTGTTATAGTTGCATGCGATAAGCGAACTGGTCACAAACTCTACTTGTACTTTTATTCTGATAAAAGGGACTGTAACGAGAGCACTGAGAAGTTGCGATTCAGTAGAGAGCTCAGTAGCGCTGAAGAGCTGTTAGATTTGAAAAACTACAGTATTCAGTGCCGCATCTCAATTCTTCACACCGATAAGACGGACGTTCTTATTTCTCAGTGGTTGATTTGTAACGCGATACGCTGTTTTTTCTCTGTTCTTGGGAATGCTTTTTAATTAAACTTTTAGTTGCAGATGGAGTATTGCTACGGAAAACGAATAACCGAATACGCAGAAAATGGAGACCTAGAAAGTATTCGCAAGTTGCTGGATGCGCATCCGAAATTTAATAAGGGGAAAATCAGAGAAGCCATGGTTAATACATTTTTCTAAACGACAGTGACCTACAGTGATTGTTCTTTCTCAGAATCAAAGGCTCACTAGATCTGAACGGCGCGCAAGAAAGAATGATTTCATTAGTCGAAGTGACTGTGTAAAACACAGCTAAAAAATCTGTTTGAGAACTGTGAAAAAGACAGTTTCTGCTAGCCACAGATGAGAATTTCTATAGTCATGTGCTCTTTTTTACAACAGTTGTGAATTACTTTTGGTAGTAGAAAAGGAAACATTATTCTAAGTACGCTTTGAAAATATTTTCTCATGTTTGAATGTGCTGCAACAGCTTAGCTGTCAAAAAATCATTATTCTTTTGCATAAAAAACTATGACTGGAGTAAATTAATTTTAACAGTGCTTAAAAATTAACAAAAAGATTTGCCTTAATTCCGCGTCTACACTGTCAAAAAACCATTTTTTTTTCGTTTTCTTGTAGAAAACAGCATTGCTCGCAGCGTCCAGGAAGGGACATCTCAGTATTGTCAAAATGTTAGTCGACTACGGAACTAATGTTTTAGCAATGGATGAACTTCGGGTAATATTTTGATTTTAATCTTCAAGTCACGCGCTTAGAAAGTTCAAAATTTAGTAGTCAGAATGTTAGTCAGAATGTTTAGTAGTCAGAATGTTAGTCAGAATGAGTAGTCAGAATGTTATCATTTAAAAACCTCTGAAGAAGAATGTTTTTTAACTGTGTGAATCTTAACGTTCTTTCTCATTATGAGAAATAGGCAACCGTAGACAACAGTTCTCTAATGCAGAAACAGCAGCCCATATGAAGTCATTTTATAACTGCTTCATAGTAATGGATAATTCAGCGCAATTATGAAACTATGTAGAAACAGGTTACCTTCTTTTCTATGCTGTAAAACTAATCAGTGGGAGAGCTAAGAGTTTTATATAAAGCCAAAAATTTATTAGAATGCTTCAGTCAGTATTGAAGGAAAGTTACTTTATTAATAGTTAAATCTTCGGTCTTCAGAAAGTCACTCTTAGCAAAAAATCAGAACAAAATTGGGCAAAAAAGTTATTGTTAAGGGAGTAGAACTGAGATAGCACGAGGTTTTTTTTTGACGTGTGGAACACTTTTGTTTTGAACTTTTTATTACGTTTTTCTAAGAACGGCACTTTATTAGTTTTGAACCTATTTTATTTCACAAATCGTATACAGTGCAGTTATTTTCTTGTCTGTTATCCACAACTGTTTGGTTTCTGAAGTTTTGTCTTCTTCATTTTCTTTTGCTTCTTGCTAGTGCTGCTATTTCATAAACCTGCAAATTTTGGTTTTACTGTCTTGTTACGTTTTCTTCTTTTTCTTTCTCTGTGATTATTTTGTACTTGAAATCTTTTGCCGCAATCATGAATAGTCATTTAGTTTGTTTAAATTCCACTTCTTGGTTGAAAGAAGTATATGGGTAGCTTAATTTTCTTATGCAGTTGAAATGAAGTAGAGATTTTCCTGGGATTTTATAAGAAACTTGTCTGAACAATTTGAGTATTATTTACCTGTAGCCTTTTTTTTTTCGCTTATTAAATTTTCTTTGAGAGCTGGAGGGGTGATTTGTATGAAGCAACTTCTGCTTTAAGTGTACTCTGTGAAGGAGTTTTAGCAGATTCCAAATTATAAATTTTGTGATGAGTTCTTTAAGCGCTTAGTGATTTTGTTTTAAGCCTTAACTGATTCTATATGGATGCCGATGTCAGCAGCGGTATGCATTTTTAAAGACATGGAGTACCCATAATCCTGTGGAAGTAAAATAGTTGAAGTATTTATGTGGCCAGGCAAACTGCGCCCAACTATTTTATGTTTCTAAATGTATACGGTTGAATGACAGAAATGGCACCATTTAATTGATGTTCGCTGGGAAAATTTTCCTGATATAGACGTATGCAACCTCAGATTACAGAAGTAAAGAACAGCAAATGATAATGCTGACAGCAGGAAAAAACAGGAAAATGGAACTTGTTTGCTTTTTAGTCAAGGATTATTTCGTTCAATAAAAAAGACTTACCAACTTTTAAAATACTTCCGTAGAATAATTTTTCCTTCTGGTAAAAAAGCTGTGCTCACTAAAGTGTCTTCAATGTCAATTCTCAATCACAGAACTGTTTGGATGGGCGCCAATAAATTGCAGAAAACGTGTATAATTACTTATTTAATTTGGAGGTTTCATTTAATAGGAGCTGGCAACATTT